CAGACTTTGCCCTTTTTGCCTACGGAAGGATTCCAGACTAATTCCCTGCTTGACTCTTGCCCCTGTCTCGGCCAGTCTCTCTCTGACAACAGAAAAGTTTTTCCAACTTTCAAAATCTCTTAAAAATGTCTCTCCATCATTTGGAACAAAGGCAGTCCTCGACTTAGTGAAAAAAAACTGACTTATGATCAGTTTTCACACTTAACGACCTGTGCCGCATCATGTGATCAGAATTCAAACGCCTGGCAACTGGCTCGTATTTATGACGGCCGCAGCGTGATCTCCTTTTGCAGCTTTCCCACAAGGAGAGTCAATGGGGAATCCCGACTCACTTAACAGCCGTCTTACAAGCTTAACAGCTGTAGTGATTCACTTAACAGCTATGGCAAGAAAGGTCGTAAAATGGCACGAAATTCACTTAACGACCGTCTGGCTTAGCCACAGAGGTTTTGGGCTCAGTTGTGGCCTTAAGTCAAGAATTACCTGTCATTATTTTGAAATTGTTTGTTAGTGCCTGTTGAATACCGTGCAGGTAGTCCTCGACTTATGACGACAACTGAGCCCCAAATGCTAAGTGAGACACTTGTTAAGAGAGTTTTGCCCCATTTTATGACTTCCTTTGTCACAAGTGAATCATTGCAGCTGTTAAGTTAATAGCATGGTTGTTAAGTGAATTGGTCTTTGTGCTCCATTGACTTTGCTTGTCAGTAGGTCAGAAAAAGGAGATTGCATGACCCTAGGAGCATGAGTGGTGTAGGAGGCTAATGCCTCCTATTAAGGCAGCATTTAACATCCAGCTGCCTGCAATTACTGCAGGTTCGAATCTCGCCAAGGCTCAAGGTCGACTCAGCCTTCCATCCTTTCTAAGGTAGGTAAATTGAGGACCCAGATTGTGGGGGCAATAAGCTGACTTTGTATAAATATACAAAAGTATGAAGGCTATTGCTTAACGCACTGTAAGCCGCCCTGAGTCTCCGGAGAAGGGCGGCATATAAATCAAATTAAAAATAATAATAATAATAAAAAAATTGGACTCTGCAACGGTCGTTAAGTGTGAAAAATGGTCCTAACTCACTTTTTTTCAGGGCTGTTGTAACTTTGGTCACTAAGCGAACTGCTGTAAGTCAAGGACATTTCCCTAGGCTTTTTATTCACTGACAGCCTGGCTCTTTTGCACAAAGCTTTTGTTTTTCCTTTATTTTCTGAGCGATGAACGTCTCATTATTATCTTTGTCCTCCTGGTGTATTTTGATGATGTCTGTGAGATACGTCGGAGGGAATGGAGGCAGGCAAAAACGCTGCTCCTGTCGAACCACAGTCGGAATCAGAAACAGAGCTGCAAGGGACCCCTTAGAGGTCTTCTAGTCCAGCCCCTTTCTCAAGCATGGAGACCCTATACCAGTGATGTCTAACCTTTTTGCCATCACGTGCCAAAAGCGTTGGGGGGCGTTGGGTGTGTGTGTTTGCGCACGCATGTGCCCACAACCATCATTCTATGCGTCCTGACCCCCAGTGCATGTGCGCGCGACCCCCCCCTCCCCTGCCTTTTGACACGCGATGGGACGGTGGCCCCAGACTGGAAGTCGGCAAACGGGCCATTTCCGGCCTCCAGAGGGCCTCCGTGGGAGTGGGGAAGGCTGTTTTCGCCCTCCCCAGGCTCCTAAAAAGCCTCTGGAGCCTGGGGAGAATGAAAAATGGGCCTCCCCCCCTCCGGAGGCCCTCCGGAGGCCAGAAACAACCTGTTTCCTGACTTCTGGTGGGCCCAGAAGGCCCGAAAACCAGCTGGCCAGCGCACATATGCGTGCCGGAGCTGAGCTCGTGTGCCCACCGATATGGCTCCACGTGCCATCATAGCCCTATACCAGTGGTGAAATCCAAATTTTTTTTACTACCGGTTCTGTGGGCCTGGCTTGGTGGGCATGGTGTGGCTTTGGTGGGTGTGGCAGGGGAAGGATCCTGCAAAATCTCCATTCCCACCCCACTCCAGGAGAAGGATAGTGCAAAATCTCCACTTTCTCCCCACTCGGGGGCCAGCCAGAGGTGGTATTTGCCAGTTTATTTATTTTATTTTATTTTATTCAATTTGTATACCGCCCTTCTCCTAGTGGACTCAGGGCAGTGCAGAGCCAGAACTAAAACACATACCAATACAAAATTTAAAATTATTAAAAAAATTACATACTTTGGCCCAAATTTAAAACAATTCGAATTAAAACCCATTGACAGATTAAAAGCTAAAAAGCTAAAAAACTATAAAAAAAAAGGGGGGGGGGTTTCACGCCAGTTCTCTGAACTACTCAAAATTTCCACTACTGGTTCTCCAGAAATCCTGCTGGATTTTACCCCTGCCCTATACCATTTCAGACAAGTGGCTGCCCAGTCTCTTCTTAAAATCCTCCGGTGATGGAGCTCCCACAACTTCTGGTGGCCAGCAGTTCCACTGGTTAATTGTCCTCACTGTCAGGAAGTTTCTCCTTAATTCCAGGTTGCTTCTCTCCTTGATTAGTTTCCATCCGTCGCTTCTCCTCCAGCCTTCAGGTGCCTTCAGGAAAGAAAGAAAGAAAGAACGAAAGAACGAAAGAAAGAAAGAAAGAAAGGGGAAAGGAAGGAAGGGGGATGGAGGGAAAGAAGGAAGGAAGGAAGGAAAGAAAAAAGAAAGAAAGAAAGAAAGAAAGGGAGAAGGAAGGAAGGGGGATGTAGGGAAAGAAGGAAGGAAGGAAGGAAAGAAAGAGAAAGAAAGAAAGAAAGAAAGGGGGAAGGAAGGAAGGGGGATGGAGGGAAAGAAGGAAGGAAGGAAAGAAAGAAAGAAAAAGAAAGAGAAAGAAAGGAAGCAAGGAGGAAGGAAGGAAGGGGGATGGAGGGAAAGAAGGAAGGAAGGAAAGAAAGAAAGAAAAAGAAAGAGAAAGAAAGGAAGCAAGGAGGAAGGAAGGAAGGAGGATGGAGGGAAAAAAGGAAGGAAAGGAAGGAAGGAAGGTTTTTTTTCCTCTTGAAAAAAATCTCCTTTGGGACAACCATGACCTGGATGGCAGGGAATCTCCATAGACCTCCAATGGTGAAGCACCCACAACTTCTGGTGGCCAGCTGTTCCACTGGTTAATCGTCCTCACAGTCAAGGAAATTCCTCCTTAATTCCAGGTTGCTTCTCCCCTTGATTAGTTTCCATCCGTCGCTTCTCCTCCAGCCTTCAGGTGCTCTGGAGAAGAGGGGGACTCCCTCTAATTTGGGGCAGCCCCTCAGATACTCGAATACCCGCTATCACGGTGATGGGGAACCTATGGCACGCGTGCCGGAAATGGCACACAGAGCCATCTCTCTGGGCACGCCAGCCATCGCCTGTTGCTCTTCCGAATTCCGGCACGCACATGTGTGCTGGCCAGTTAATCTTCACATGTGCAAGCGTGACGGAAGAGCAGGTGACCGGGGAACTGCTTCCACCCAAAACCTATTCCTCCCCCCCCACCCCTTTTCTCCCAGTCCCTTCCTGCAAGCCTGAGGGCAGGGATGGTCTAATTATTATTATTATTATTATTATTATTGATTTCTGGATGCTTCCCTAGGGAGCCTTTCTGATGGGGAGGGCAGGGGAAAAATGCTTTAAGCAAAACAACCGAATCGAGTGTCACGTGGGAAATTGGCCGCGTCGACTGTGCCACAGACAGAGTGCCCAAAATGCAGCCACAGGACCCGGGTGTGTGTGTGTGTGTGTTGGTTGGGGGGGGTTTGTAGCATCAGAACTTCAAAATCGTAATTGTAAGTAACTTTTGGGGTGTCCGATGGCGTTGATTGGTCGTAAGCCAAGGACTAAGGGTAAAGCAAGCAGTCTCGTATATGGTACCTACTGCCAGACAACTATCCATCCACTATCCATCCTTCCTTCCTCCCTCCCTCTTCCCATCCCTTTCCTTCCCTTCCTCCCTCCCCTCTTTCTTTCCATCCCCTCCCTCCCATCTCCTTCCTCCCCGTCCCTTCCTCGCTCCTCTTTCCCATACCATCTCTCCTTCCTCCTTCCCTCGCTCTTCCCTTCTCTTTCCTCCCCCTCTGCATTCTTCCCATCCTTCCTTCTTCCCTCCCTCTTTCCCTCCTGCTTTCCACCTCTCCCTCCCTTCCCTCTTTCCTTCCCTCCCTCCCTCCCTCTTCCCATCCCTTTCCTTCCCTTCCTCCCTCCCCTCTTTCTTTCCATCCCCTCCCTTCCTCCCATCTCCTTCCTCCCCGTCCCTTCCTCGCTCCTCTTTCCCATACCATCTCTCCTTCCTCCTTCCCTCCCTCTTCCCATCTCTTCCTTCCCTTTTCCAATCTCTTTCCTCTCCCTCCCTCCTTCCCATCCTTCCTTCCTCCCTCTTTTCCATCCCCTCCCTTCCTCCTTCCCTCCTTCCCTCACTCTTCCCTTCTCTTTCCTCCCCCCTCTGCATTCTTCCCATCCTCCCTTCTTCCCTCCCTCTTTCCCTCCTGCTTTCCACCTCTCCCTCCCTCCCTCTTCCCATCCCTTTCCTTCCCTTCCTCTCTCCTTTTTCTTTCCATCCCCTCCCTCCCTCCCATCTCCTTCCTCCCCGTCCCTTCCTCACTCTTCTTTCCCATAGCATCTCTCCTTCCTCCTTCCCTTCCTCTTCCCATCCCTTTCCTTCCTTCCCTCCCTCCCTCCCCTCTTTCCTTCCCTCCCTCCCTCCCTCTTCCCATCCCTTTCCTTCCTTTCCTCCCTCCCCTCTTTCTTTCCATCCCCTCCTTCCCTCCCATCTCCTTCCTCCCCGTCCCTTCCTCACTCTTCTTTCCCATACCATCTCTCCTTCCTCCTTCCCTCGCTCTTCCCTTCTCTTTCCTCCCCCCTCTTCATTCTTCCCATCCTTCCTTCTTCCCTCCCTCTTTCCCTCCTGCTTTCCACCTCTCCCTCCCTTCCCTCTTTCCTTCCCTCCCTCCCTCCCTCTTCCCATTTCCCTTCCCTCCTTCAGGACAGAGGTAGATGGCTTAGGAACACTTACTAATGAGGGTGTTTTTCTCCATCGCAGGCGCACCGGCTGGATGAAGACTTCGGAGTCCTTCACTGAGAACATCCAGCTACTTTGATCCTGGACCTTTCGGCTTTCCACCATGTTCCACTTAATCAAGAAGGACCGAGACGGGTCCAGGAGGGAGAAGAAGAAGGAGAAGGAGAAGAAGGAACGCATGTCGGCCGCCGAGCTGAAGAGCCTGGAGGAGATGAGCCTGCGCCGAGGGTTCTTCAACCTCAACCGGGCTTCCAAGAAGGACTCCAAGAACCGCCTGGAGATCTCCAACCCCATCCCCATCAAAGTGGCCAGCGGCTCGGACCTCCACCTCACCGACATCGACTCAGACAGCAACCGGGGGAGCGTGATCTTGGACTCGGGGCACCTCAGCACGGCCAGCTCCAGCGATGACCTCAAAGTGGACGACGGCACCTTCAAAGGCTCGGTCCTCCAGCGAGCTGCCAAGTTCGGCTCGTTGGCCAAGCAGAACTCGCAGATGATCGTCAAGAGGTTCTCCTTCTCCCAGAAGAGCCGCGACGACAGCGCCTCGGAGACCTCCACGCCCTCCGAGCATTCGGCAGCGCCTTCCCCTCAGGTGGAGACGCGAACCCTGGAGATGCAGCTGTCGAAACACGGCGCTGGGACTCCTCCCGGCGCCCCATTGGCGTCCGCCTCGCGCACCCGGCTGCCCGAATTGGTGAGCAAGAGGTTCCCCGCGGAGCTGAAGCTCCCCGTGGTGGTCCCTCCGCAGCCCCCTGTGCCCCGGCAGCTGGAGCTGCAACGGCGCAACACGGGAGACTTCGGCTTCTCGTTGCGTCGTACCACCATGTTGGACAAGGCGGCCGACGGGCAGGTGTATCGGCGAGTGGTGCATTTTGCCGAGCCGGGTGCCGGAACCAAGGATCTGGCTTTGGGCTTGGTGCCGGGTGACCGGCTGGTAGAGATCAATGGGCGCAACGTGGAAAATATATCCCGGGACGAGATCGTGGAGATGATCCGGCAGTCGGGCGAGACGGTGCGGCTGAAGGTGCAGCCGATTTTGGAACTGAGCGAGCTGAGCCGCTGCTGGTTGAAGAACGGCGAGAGAGCCCAAGGAGCAGCCTTTGATGTGAGTAGCTGGCTCGCGCGGGGCAGGTTGGGGGCTGATGGGGGTCTCCCTTGTGTCCGAGTGGTGAATTTTGGCTGAGTCTTGGCTCCTGGGCTGCCTTGGTGGGACTTCATAATGCCCATTCTCTGGCGTTGTGTGGCCATCGCAATCGGCCCTCTGCGCCTACGGTTGTGTTACGAGAAATTTGCCGCACAGAACCGTTTTTTTTCTTCTTTTGCAAATGATGCGGGACACTTAAAAAAGTCTGGTTGTTGTCCAAATGTTTGCAAGAAAGCTCGGGAAAATTTAATTCTGCATTTCAGCGGGGTTCATGATGCCAGGGGTTTTTATTTTATTTTTTTGGTGGAATGAGTTTTCAAATTGGGGATTCTGAGGGGCGCATTTCCCCCCAAAGATTCCTCTGTATAAACCAGGGGTGTCCAACCTTGGTAACTTTAAGACTTGTGGGCTTCGGCTATATTGACTGGGGAATTCTGGGAATGGAAGTCCACGGGTCTGAGAGTCGCATGGATGGCTGGGGAATTCTGGGAATTGAAGTCCACGGGTCTGAGAGTCGCATGGATGGCTGGGGAATTCTGGGGAAGTCCACGGGCCTGAGAGTCGCATGGCTGGCTGGGGAATTCTGGGAATTTAAGTCCACGGGTCTGAGAGTCGCATGGATGGCTAGGGAATTCTGGGAGTTGAAGTCCACGGGTCTGAAAGTCGCACGGATGGCTGGGGAATTCTGGGAGTTGAAGTCCACGGGTCTGAAAGTCGCACGGATGGCTGGGGAATTCTGGGAATGGAAGTCCACAGGTCTGAGAGTCGCATGGATGGCTGGGGAATTCTGGGAGTTGAAGTCCACGGGTCTGAGAGTCGCACGGATGGCTGGGGAATTCTGGGAATGGAAGTCCACAGGTCTGAGAGTCGCATGGATGGCTGGGGAATTCTGGGAGTTGAAGTCCACGGGTCTGAGAGTCGCACGGATGGCTGGGGAATTCTGGGAATGGAAGTCCACAGGTCTGAGAGTTGCATGGATGGCTGGGGAATTCTGGGAATTGAAGTCCACGGGTCTGAGAGTCGCACGGATGGCTGGGGAATTCTGGGAATTGAAGTCCACGGGTCTGAAAGTTGCCAAGGTTGGACACACCCCTGGTATAGACCAAGAGTAGCCGAGAACAAAAAGTGGAATTTTGGCTAGTTTTTCTGGTTAACTGAGAGATCTGCAGGGCTAAGAAATAAGGAACATTTCTCCATGCTGTGTGCTTGGACGGGAATTTAAATTTGATAGGCAAGTCCTTCTGAGAAACCACAATTTTCCAAATCCATCCAGTTTTTCATGGCTTACCTGGAAGTGTGTGTGTGTGGGGGGGGAAGTTTTTTTTAATTTATTTATTTTTATTTTATTTTAAATTTATATACCGCCCTTCTCCCTGAGGACTCAGAGCGGTGTACAGCCAGAATTAAAAAACATAAAATACAAATATTAAAAAACAAAAGTTATTGCTTGGTACACTAGTCATTGTGATGGGACGGTCAGTATAAACAGCCCGGAATCAAAATATTCTCTTCGCACCCAATAATCCTTTAAACCCTGTTTTTCACAAGCAAGCTTGTTCAGGCCAGTGAGTGGCTGTGGCTGTTGAACCTTAAATTGGATGGAGGAGTTTCCGGCGTGTGCTGAGTCTCGTGTGTTGGTATGTGCATTATGGATGCATATTTTTAGAAAGGCTGGTGGTTCAAAATAATATATATATATATATTTTCTCCTTCCTGGCGAAAAGCTATTTTGAGAAAAGGCTTCGTCCCTCGGGCGAAATTCCGTTCAAAATAAGGATTTGTCAGGGCTGACATTTTGAGATGTAAGCGTGGTACTGAATATGACGGTATGTGATTATATTTTTTCCCCCCTGATTATACAGGCTGAACGTAGAGTAGTCCTTGACTTATGACATAATTGAGCTCAAAACATCTGTTGCGAAGCAAGATCGTTGTTAAGTGGCTAAAATTCCACCTTAAATCTGTTGCAAAAATTTGGGGGTGGGTGATGGAAAGAGCTTTACAAGCTAGTGAAGATCAGCTGTTTACAGCTAGTTCTCCACTTACGACCACAATCGAGCCCCAAATGTCTGTTGCTAAACGAGACCGTTGTTAAGTGAGTTTTGCCCCGGTTTATGACCTTTCTTGCCAGAGTTGTTAAGTGAATCCCTGCAGGTGGTAAGTTAGGAACACCGTCGTTAAAGGAATCAGGTTTTCCTATTGACTTGGCTTGTCAGACGGTCGCAAAAGGGGATCACGTGATCCCGGGACACTGCAATCGTCATAAATACGAGTCGGTTGCCAAGCGTCCAAATGTAGATCACGTGACACCATGGGGATGCTGCAACGGTCGTAAGTGTGAAAAACAGTCGTAAGTCACTTTTTCCATGCCGTTGTAATTTCAAGGGGTCACTAAACGAACGGTTGTAAGTTGAGGATTTGCCTGTATCCCATTGTGTGTCTTCATCTTTACTTTGGTTGTAAAGGGAACAATATACAGGTAGTCCTCAACTTACGACCAGAATTCAGCCCAAAATTTATGTCGCCAAGTGAGAAATGAGTTAAGTGAGTTTTGCTCCATTATACGACTTTTCTTGCCACCGTCGTTAAGCGGATCCCTGCCGTTGTTCAGTTAGTAACACGGTCGTTAAGTGAATCGGCCTTCCCCGTTGACTTTGCTGTTCAGAAGGTCGCAAAAGGGGATCACGTGACCGCCCCCCCAGAGGACACTACAACCGTCATAAATGTGAGTCAGTTGTCAAGCATCTAAATGTAAATCACATGACCATAGGGCAATGCTGCAACGGTCGTAAGTGCGAAACACGGTCGTAAGTCACTTTTTTCAGTGCCGTCGTAACTTTGAACAGTCACTGAGTGAACTGTCGTAAGTCGAGGTCTACCTGTAAAACAGTTTTTCAGAGCTTCTGATCTGTTTAGTGTCCGACACAAGGCTTGTAACATTTCTGATTTTTCAACATTTTCGCACTTTGGAGTGGGCCAGGCAAGGGATTTTTTTGCACCAAAATGTATTAAGAAATCCTCTTTTTTCTCACCACGGATTTTCTGCGGAAGGAAAAAAGAGATGGAAATAATAATCATATTAAGGATTTTGAAGGGAAAAGAGGCATTGTCTGGAATTCCCTCCCTTGTTGTGGTCCGCCAGCAGCCTGCGGAGCTGGCAATGGAGTCGGACAGGGAGGAGGCTGGGGAGGAACATGGGCCAGTCCTGGAGGCTGGGGAAGGCCCGGATGAGGGCTCTGCGTCGGAGTCAGAGATGGGGCCAGGGCCATCGGGGAGTGATGCACGGACTCCGGAGCCTCCAGAGTCGGACAGCAGAGAGGCAGAGGAACAGGAGGAGCCTATTCCTAGTTCATTCATGCGCAGAGCTGCCAGAAGGCAAGAGCAGCTCAAGCAAAGAGGACGACTCAGGAGTAAGGCCAGGAGATGATTGGCCCCTCCCATAAGGCTTAAAAAAGAAACAAAGGCACCTGAGCCTTTTTGCAGGAAAGCAACATTGCTAACTCTGTTTCCAGTCGGCATCTCTTGTTTGTTTCTGAACTTCGTGGGGCTTTGCCAAATAAGGCCTTTGGCAGGGTGTCAAAGAAGATAAAGAATTGGTAATTATCCCAAAGGACTTAATCCCTGTTACAATTGTGCAAACAAAGGTATCTGATTGGGTCAAGAAAGCCCTAATCTGGAAGCTCGTTTTTGATTGGTGGTTAGCATCCAGCATCCAGCTGGCTGGAGAATTCTGGGAGTTGGAGTCCACAAGTCTTAAAGCTGCCAAGTTTGAAGACCTCTGCAATTGGTGGAGCCAATCTGACCTTATTTATTCATTATACAGGCAGTTCTAGACTTACAACAGTTCATTTAGTGACCAAAGTTACAGCGGCAGTGAAAAAAGGGACTTACGACCGATTTTTCACACTTATGACCTTTGCAGCATCTCCATGCTCACATGATTTTCATTTAGATACTTGACAACTAACTCACATTTATGACGGTTGCAGTGTCCCGAGGTCACATAATCCCCTTTTGCGACCTCAATGGGGAAGCCAGATTCACTTAACAACGGCGTTACTAATTTAAGGACTGCAGTGGTTCACTTAACAAAATGTGGCGAGAAAAGTCGTAAAACAGGGCAAAACTACCTTGACACGTTTCTCACTGAGCGACATCAATTTTGGGCTCGATTGTGGCCCTAGGTTGAGGATACTCCCTGTATATTTATTCCACTTGTATTTATAAAAAGAATAAAAGTGGAATAAATTGTATATTTATTGTATATTAAGAATAAAATAAATATATTTTATTCTTTTTATAAATACCGTCTTCTAAGGGGCATTTTGGTGAGATTACAGTGTTATTTAATCACCTTGGAGACACCCCTATGCCTTCTCATGCAGGGAAGTGGTCTGGAGGATTTATTTTGACAGGAGGAAGAATGAATGAATGAATGAGTATTTTTTTTTTTCCACTGGAAGGGAAACACCCGGCATGGAATTCTCTCTGACTCAGGCAAAATCCAAATTAAAAATCACGTGCGAATGAAACTGCCAAAGAGATGCGGTAGGAAACAGAGTGCAGTCATGAGGCATCGATGGAAATTAGAAGAATTATGCATTTAAAAATTATGCATTTCTCAAGCTTGGCAGCTTTGAAGATGGGTGGAACTTCAACTCCCAGAATTCCCCAGCCAGCTTGGCTGGGGAATTCTGGGAGTTGAAGTCCCACCCATCTTCAAAGCTGCCAAGCTTTAGAAACTCTGCTCTAAATGAAGGGGAAGCCTTCCCGGAAATGTGCAGACAAGCTTAACTTATTTATTCAATTTATATGTCACCCAACTGATTATCCAAACTTGCAGAGGTCTTCAAACGTGGCAGCTTTAAGACTTGTGGACTTCAACTCCCAGAATTCCCCAGCCAGCAAAGCTTAAAGCTGCCACGTTTGAAGACCTCTGATCCAAGGGGACACTGTGTGCCAAGCAGAACGCTGCTGGGAGAAGCATTTCTCCTTCGGGCAAGGATGCTTCCCTTTAGGTGGGGTGCCAGGCCCCATGCCCACCGTAGCATGTGGGATGTGGGATCCGGCTTTGAATTTAGTGGCATGTGCTAGAAAGGAGTAGGGTTTGTAGAGAGTGGGTGGGGGGGACTTGGGGTCCTTCGTGCTCTCTTAGCTTCTTTGTTTATTTATATAAACAAAGAGCCTTGGTGGTGCAGAGGACTAAAGTGCTGTTAAGTAGCACCAGCTGCCTGCAATTACTGCGAGTTCGAATCTCACCAGGCTCAAGGT